TCATATATTTTTTAAACAAATTTATTAATTATTAAAGCTTGGACATGCTCTGGACACTTGTGGACACTTGGACACTTGGACGTTGAACAGTACCAAAAAAGCCTTTGGACAGTCAAAACATACAACACTGCATATAAGCATGGCTATCATAGTAAAGGTGGAAGCTGGGAAAATGTTAATATAGTGAATCAAAAGGTTGAATATAAAACCTACAATTATGCTAGCAAGGTTATTGATGATGTTAAAGCTGCCAGTAATAATGAAGGTGAAGCATTTAAGCATTATTTGAGACCAGTCGATACAGATAGAGCTGATAATGTTAATATCCGTCTCCTTTTTCTTGACTCAACCCTTCCCTCCACACGCAGTGGTCTTTAACAGTCAGCCTGCTTCGAGCAGGCAGGAAATCACTTGCTGATGCTGCTTCTCACTCGTTCTACTGTTACGTTGATACCCAACAAAATCTCACTTGCTAAATTTCCCGAAAAGCATATCATCGTTTCATTTCAAATTACTCAGCTAAAATTACTCACAATGTATTCTGAATTTATTTCTGGCACCTTTGGCTAGCCAGCATTCTTCCAAACACATGACCACCCGTACCTGTACTTTTCGTAGCCGGGAGTATAATCTATACTGCAGTGGACAACAAGCAACATGAAATATTTATAAAAGTAATATAGCTCAGTAACAAATATAATTTATCAAAAAATTTTACCAGAGTTGTTATTTTTTATTAAAGCTACAATTCTGCTAAAATAGATTTCAGTTTTTTTTACCGTATATTTTTAAAAAGTAATTTTAGCTTTAAGTTTATATGTATTTAGAAATTGTGCACCTAAAATATATGAATGCTGTGAGGGAACTTGGAAGTGAATATTTAATTTTTCATTATGACGAGTTTATCTCTAGATGAATTGTGAAATTACGTAATTTATCATCTTCTAATAGAATATCTAATATAGAATATCTAATATAGCTCTCTAAATGTAAATTGTATCAGTCCATTATTCCAACAGCAGGTGGTTTCATAATTTTAGTAGTTGGTGAGATAGTGATTTCAATGATGAGTAGGTTTATGATTTTAGTAATAAGGAGGTTGGTATTTCAATATAGACTTAACGATAGATAATTCATAATATTAACAGT